ATCTATTTTGGAATCATTTGATAATATTCCATTTTATAGTTGCATGTTCTTACATTCTTATTTCCCACCTATACATTTACTTTTATGTTATCGATAAAGAGCCATTGCTTGAAATTGATAGCCATATTCAATAGTTACTTAGAAGAACGATTACCAAATTTAATCTACTACTGGTATATATCATAACACATCTAACCATCTTGATGTCTGGTCTGACAATGGACAATTACTATACAGAGAACATCTTACCTTATTCTGGACAGTAATGGGGATACTATCTGTTGGTTCTATTGATGTGATATTAACACATGTATCATTAGAAAACACATCTAACCATCTTGATGTCTGGTCTGACAAAGGACAATCACTATACAAGGAACATCTATAAATGAAATTTTGAAAAACAATAATAAACAAGCCATGCATGGCACAGTCCCTGTTAGTTATCAAATTTAAGATATATAGTTTTGTTTATAGTAATATAGCTGGAATATAACCATGTCAGGAATATGATTTTTTAACATTAACATGATTGACATTTGTATCTGATCATCAAACAAGTACTTGTCCATATTGAGAGATATTGCTCTGGAACAGCATTTAAAATCAGCCATTTTGAATACATGTTTATATATAACATGATGTATAACGAATATATAAAATTTGAATATAATCAGTCAAAGCATTTAAGAGATATGGCTCTAGAAGCCCAATCATTGAAAAAAAATGGCCGCCAGTCAGCCATTTTGAATCCAATCTGAAAAATAAAATAACGTGCATCAGGAACCCGTTATGTCTAATGTATATACCAAGTTTGAATGAAATCCATCTATAAATGCCAGAAATGCTTGATATTTGATGATTTTTTAGCACAAAAATGACCACCATTCGGCCATTTTGAATAGGATCGTCAAACAGATAAATCTGTTTATCTATGACATGATGTATAATGAATATTTAAAATTTGAACATAATCAGTCAAAACATGTCGGAAATATGGCACGAGAACCACATTCATTAAAACAAAATGGATGCCAGTCGGCCATTTTGAATCTTATCTGAAAAACAAAATGATGTGCATCAAGGTCCCATAATGTCTAATGTATATACCAAGTTTGAACAAAATCCATCTGTAAACAGCCGAGAAATGCTTGATTTTTAGGATTTTTAGCAAAAAAATGGTCGCCATATATACTAATATGTATAATATCATGTATGATGTATGTGTGAAGTTTGATTGTGATTGGTCCAGGCATTTCTAAGATACAGGTCCGGACGCACACACGGACGCACGCACACACGCACGGAGGTCAAAACATAAGTCCCTGTTTTCGGACTGTGTCCAAACAGGGACTAATAACAGCCTCATCCCAGTGGACACAAAGTTTGAATCCATCCTGATATTGCAAAAAAAAACAATTCAGAAAAAAGTTAGGATGCAGTTTATATGCTGTGAAAATTCAACCTGAATTATACATGTATAATTACCTTCTTTCTAATGTACACCATCCACAGTATGGATCCATAGAATCAAAACATTCAG